TGCTTTGAAGTATATGCACGAGAGGACTGAAAACATATGTCCACACCAAAACATCCACATGAACATTCATGGCAGCACTAATCATAAGCCAAAATACAGAAACAAATTGAATTCCCAACTGATGAATATTTAAGCAAAATTCGGTATATCCTACAACAGAATATTATTCAGCAATAAGAAGAAATGAAGTACTGATCCATGCTACAATGCATGTGGCTACAACAAATCCAAATATTGTATGATTTGATTTATATAAATATCCATAATCCAGAGAAAAAACAGACTGATGGTTGTCAGGGGCTGGAGGTAAGGGGAGTAGAATGGGAATTGACTTCTAATGGGCATGGGGTTTCTTTTTGTGGTAAAATTAGATTGTGGTGATGTTTGCACAGGTCTGTGAATATACTAAAAACCACTAAATCGTACACCTAAAATGGTGGCTTTTATGGTATATGAATTATACTTTAATGAAGACTTTTTTTTTTAATGGGACTAATACCTCCCACTTCATACGCTATTGGGAGAATTAACTGAAGACATGAAATCTTCTTTTACAAAGTTAGACACCCAAATATTTTGAGAAACTAAAGACAAATTTTGCTGCATCCCAACTTTGCCCAGAATTAGTTGTAATATACCACCAAGGTAAATGTAAAAGAGCTCCAGGGTCAGAAGCAAGTTTAAATGCCTGCTCCTTTTGCACCCATGCATTGAGTGAAGCTCTGGCCTATTCACTGGGATTGTTGGGACAAGATGAACTTTGCTTTTTACTTTCCCAACCAAATAGCAATTTCTTCCCACCCACCTGGGCAGATAGCACCCCCTCCTCATCCATATACCCCCTCCACCAGCAAGCATGTCTTCTTCCTCTCAGAAGGTGGTTTGAGGTACAGAGCTCTTATTTTGGATTTGAGAAAAAGTGTTGAGCTGAAGCAATATTTCAAAAGAAAAGAGAATCTGTAATATCAGCCACAACTAAGCCCATCCTGCCAGTGTTTTTCTTGGGTATTCTGACAATTCAAGGCTAAGAGATCATAACTTTCTGAAAATGCCTAAGAACCCTTTCTGAAAATCCCTGAGAACCAAGATGCTAAATTCAGGATCTGGTCCTATGATGAAGGTCCATCTTCAGGTCTGCTAGATATTTGTGCCTCGCCCAGGTAGGCTGGGGAAATGGCTAGACTGGAAGCCCATAGTTCAGCTCCCAGGTCAGCTTGCAGCATATTTAATGATTACACCAACTATCTTACTCAAGAATACGGCTGTCATACTCTATTGTAATTTAAATTATGATTTTGAAATAATGAGGCACAAAAATGAATCATCTTACTTTATGTACAAAGTATATCTTATATTACATTTATTGCAATGAAAAACTAATTAAATGTGAACATTGAAATATTCCATGTCAGGAAAAAATATATCACAAAAATGTCACTTTTGTGTGTTTGTATTCATCAAGGACCTACTAGGTGCCAGGCTCTTGTAATATAGAAAAGGGTAAGACAATTGAAACCCCTCAGGAGGACCTCCATCTTTTTGCAAGAAAGATAATTACAATAGGACATATTAAAGGAAAGCAAGTAGTGCTATGTGAACACAGAGGAGGGACACCTGCCTGAGTCTGGGGTGTCCTGGGGGCATTGAGGAGATAGAAATGCCTGAGCTGAATACTAAAGATGAAGAAAGTAGATGGGAAAAAGGATGTTAAGGAACAGCTCCTCAGGCTAAAAATAATAAAAATTGTATATTTATAGACTTGCGAAGTATTCAGCTTAGCTGAAACCAACTGTTGAGAAGGGATTGGTAAGATGAGTTAAATTACCATGGATAGGTAAGAAAGAGATCGGGATTTACATTTGCAGACACATGAACTCACCCTAAATTCGTCCCATCCCACTGAGAATGGCCATAAGAGTGGTCAAGAACTGTTAGGCAGGGAAAAGAGTTACTGGGCTTCCTCAAAGTGGCACCTTGATGAGGGCCGATGGCCAGCAATGCTGCCTTAAAAGAGCAGAACTGCTGAGGATCCAGCTCTGCCCCTCAGGGATTAGGGTTGAATTCCTGGCCATAGTTAAAAGAAAAAAATTCCTTCCACCTGCTCTCTTCCAATCCCAAGAACAGTCAAGATTCTCTTCAATAGCAACAAAAAATTTATTTGCAACACAGCCCAGTCCCATCACTTAAATATAGGAATCACATTGCAAGCATCGTTTAGACCAAGACAGAGTTCCATGTTTCCCACAGACAGCAAGGCCATCCCCCTGACAGACCCATGGCCAGAGTCAAACTGAACACATGAAATAGGCAAGCCCAAAATGAAGTCAGCTCCAGGCCTTGGCACGTTTCATCCTTCCCCCACAGCCCTCTACTCTCCTCCACCCCCAATCAGGCCAACTTCTAGCCTCTGAGCTATCAGGGAGCTTTCTTTCTGAGGTAATTAACAGGGGTTTAAGTATTACATAAAATAAGAAAATACCCTGTGAACTCTGTTATTCCATGGGAACCTTAAAATAACTCCCCCATGCATAATACTCATCAGCAGTGACAGCTCTTCTCTATCATAAATGCA